TGGGGAGGCGCCGGCCAATGAGGAGCGAGCGCGCGCAAACCGTGACGCGGTGGGGCGCAAAGCCGCGGAAAGAACGTTATTTTCTTTCTTTCCTACTCGCTCTCGCGTGCGTTCAACCGTCAGCGGAAGTGAAATGAACGCGCGTAAACTATAATAATATAGGTAGGTAAAGGCATGGCCTGCCCTGGGCCTGGTAGTGCCAGGACGCCGAAGCGCGCTCGGTGCACCTGCTGCCACACTTTAACTACGTCATGAGTAACAATCGTGATCATAAAAATTAAATGAAACATAATAGAAAATACTAATTGTTGTTTGTAATTAAATGCTTTGCAGAACTATTATAACACAGATAGTGCATGCGATTAAATTAAGTTACCTTTTACCAAGAAATGTTTACATTTAACGATTTAGCTGATTACTGATGAAATTTGTCACTTAGGACTTGTTCATAGATTTCTAAAAGAATGTATTGAGCAGATCTTATGTGAAAATATTTCAATGTAGCCAGTCTGTCTTTACGGATTTCCTAGCAGTAAACTTTCATAAGCTCGTAACTATAATTTTTAGGTAGTAAGGAATTTAATGAAACAATTGTTTGATTACTATATTATTTATGAAATCAAACTTATAAGGAGATAAATTCTTAAATAACAATCAGGGATTGTTATTGGCCATGATGATGGTACATCCGAGGTCGGTAAGCTGCATGAACTCCGCGCCGCCGTCCAGCAAGCGGTGTGAGCAGACAGCCAGCTTCTCGCTGATGACGCACTTCTGCTTGTTGGTCAAGTGACCAGCACTGACCACTGTCGCGCTCAACTGTTCCAGCAGTTGTGACGCTGAGTATGCATCCATTAGGAATCTGTTAAGTTACCATAGTATTCATATACATAACTAGCTGTTGCTCGCGACATCGTCCCCGTAAAATAAAAACAATATAGCCTATGTTACTGACACATAAGTTACCTTTCTAGCAGTGAAATAATTTTTAAAATCAGCCCAGTAGTTTTTGAGTTATTTCAATGCATACAAAAAAAAACGAACATTTCCTCTTTATAGATGAAATAATATATAATGTCTGATTTTGTGCAAAAATCAAAGTGGTTTTTTAACTTAAAAAAACATTTTCATATTATATCCGATATACTTACTTCTTAACAAACATCTCTAGCTCATTGTAATTCTTGATGCTTAAATATTCATTGACCAAATTGTCTGGAACTAAACCAGTCACCTAAAATCAGAATTATTTAATACTTTATTATTATCTTTTTTGATTCTTATTGTTGAGTACAGAAATTCTGCCTTTATTAAAACTACCTCAATTAATCCATCAGCGGTAACTTTGCCAAGTAAACGCTGGCAACACTGCAGGGCAGTAAGAGCTCGCCGCAAATCACCATCACAAGTGTCCACAGCCTGGTGCAGCACTTCACCATCACCAACATCCACACCCTCTGCACTACAAACTTCTTGTAACCTGAATTACAATTCAAAAATTTATGAATACTCTTGCGAAATTAAAAGCTATATTAAAGTCATCTAACTATGATATCTAGCACTTAGGCCACAATCACAAAATTAGCAAACTGGAGTGTGGCACAGTGGACTACAATCTTCGCTTGCATAGACATACAAACATCACATAAAATGTCCATGTGAGTCAAGATTTTAGACCACTCTACCAGCCGCTCCACTCAACTTAAGTTTTGCAGTTTAGAAAGCTTTTTACTCAGAGATATCCCATAAATATGAATGCAACAAAAAGACTTTTAGTGTGTGAAGATATTAAACCCACCTTTTAATAACATTTTCTTTTGCAAGTGGCTTGAATCTAAATTTGGAACATCTACTAGTAATTGGTGGTATAATTCTCGACACATAGTTGCAGATGAGACAGAACCGTGTTGTGCGGGTTTCCCTCTCCATTGTCCTACGTAGTGCGGCCTGGGCTGCGGTTGTCATTGAGTCAGCCTCATCCAGGATAACCAGCTTGTATGGAGGACATGGTCTACCACTGTAATTTAAAGAGAATTAAAATCAACATCTTTGGATATGAACATTTAATCAGAATGTTTAATGAGCAAAAAATTAAAATTAAATATAAAAACCCCAATAAGCCATATAAAATTACTTATTAGAAAAAAATATTTCGACTAAAGTTCTACTTACTCTGGTTTTGTATTGCTGACAGTGAGTTGAGCAAAAGATTTGACTTTATCCCTGATGACTTGTATACCACGTTCATCTGACGCATTTAATTCCAGCACACGGTCGCGAGTTATATCCCCAAAGAGCTGCCTTGCAGCTGCAAGAATAGCACTGGTTTTACCAGTTCCGGGAGGGCCATAGAATAATAAGTGCGGTAAATCACCACCCGACAAACATTCCCTTAAAACTTGTACAACTTCACCTTGATCAACTATGTCGTCAATTGTTTTAGGTCGACTGTAAAAAACAATATATGTTCATTCTCTTTTAACAAAAAAAAAAACCGAAAACATAAGTTACATTTAAAAATACGAACTATTTTTCAACCCATGGTGCCGGTGGTTTCTTCTTTGTAGGTTTTGCGCCCGACGTTGACGGTTTATCGGCTGCTGACAGCTTCCCTGTCTTTAAAAAAGCTTGCATCTTTCATGTATTAAATAAAAAGTGGAATATTAAGTTTAAACCTTTATTGCTTTAGTAAACATTAAAACTGTGTGAAATGGCGGTACCGAAACTTTTGTAATGATTGACGTTGACATTGACATTTATTATGTCAGATGACATATGTTGATTTAAAATTGTATTATTGAATTTAAATATTTGTTGAAAATAACCAATTTTTAATAATCTTTACAACCCCTTTTTGTAGTTCAATTGAAAAAGTTCCGAGATTGTAAAGAAAAATTAGACTTTCTTGTAATAGTTAACAATGATGGCTGTGCAAACTATTAAACTATCTTTGACTTATCTGTTAAAATTTGGACTTAAATTGACATTGACATTTTACTGGGCGAAAATTTTGCTGAACGTTGAGCGGGAAGATTCTATTTTATATTAGTATGAAAAAGTAACTAGAAATAAATAAGTATGACTACTAGATCACAAAAGAAATCAAGCTCTACATCAACTAGTTTAAGTGTATGTCAAAAAAGAATAGAAAATTCGTGGATTTTACTTATTAAAGGTGGAATAAAAGTGTTTTAATTACATTTATGATTTAATGTTTTAAAATTATAATCCTTGTGATAATACTTTTCAGAATCGCTTTTTGAAAATAGCAGTTTTAGCATTGTTACTCTTCCTCATCCAGCTCATGGAAATTTATCGAAGTATTGTTTAGACAATGTTCACAACAAAATGTTTGAAGTGGTGACATTCAATGAGCCATATAGTTCATGGTTTATTGGTGATTATGTTAAATCTGACGGCAGTATTTTAATGGTTACTCCAATAAATCCATTGTTTTTAGGTTTGTATATTTTATTTACTCTAAAAAGATTAATTTTTTATTATGTCTATCAGCACTCTCTCTAAACTTTCAGTATTTAACTATCTCAATATGTATAAGATAACTAAGTTAATTTAATAAATATGCAACTCAAATTGAAAAATATTTTTAGTTCTCCCAAGACTGAAGGAACAATGTGCCAACAGAGCGGTACCATTAAATGATTTATTATCGGAAAAGGGATTTGATAAAATTGTTGACTTTGTTATGAATATGGAATCTATTGGAGATTTAAAGGTAATAATATATTAGAATTACTTTTAATTGATCACAAGTAATTAAATAGCTGAGAACAGTAATGTTACTTTTTATTAGGGTGCACCAGAAATGAAAGCCTACAAATACAATGAAGAAAAAACATTAAATTGGTTAGAAGAGAGGGTTCATAAAGTGGCGAAAGTTTTAAAAGAGAAAAATATCCATGTAACATCTGGTGCAATATCATCTACTTTTGTATCCAGTACTCTGAGCAATGAAAATGTTGATGAAGGTGTGTTTTTTTTAATATCTTCAAGATACATATTATTTATTATCATACCATACCATTTATTATTTTTACCAGATCTGAAAGTTTGGCTTTGGACATGGAAGTTTTATTGGGCTATTTCTGAAAAAAAAAAGTTTCACAATAGAAAATAAATATCATTTACTGAAGACTTCAAAAGATACCAATTGCAAATTTTTCATATGTCTAAAGTGCACTCCTATTTAAGCATAACCCTTTATATCCATTCCATCTGCTTTTTCTATCAGAACTCTATTGTTTATTTAAATATATTTGATTTTGAATGTATATCATTTCAGAATTTTATCTTAAATATGCTCATGGTATTATATCTGAGTACCTTCAAGAGGACCTAGTTGAAAAACTAGAAAAACGATTTAATTTTAAACCAGAAATTATTGAAACAGTTGGAAAGAAGAGGAAGTCTGAGGTTGATTTAAATAACTCAAATAAGAAAGCTAAGAATGAGTCCACGTCTGAAGATGTGAATGATGTGAAAGTTGGTGTTCTGTTAAATGGATCTTCTGAGACTAAAAAGAAGCCAACAGCAAAAGAAAAAGCCAGACAAAAGGCTGCCAGTGGAACAAAAACAATATCTTCATTTTTCACAAAAAAATAAATGGCCTTTAAAGTACAGTTTTCGATTTTCATTCTTTTAATTTAGCGTGCAATGCAAGTAGAATATAGACAAACAATCCAAAACATAATACAAGTAAAGATACAATTTCATTTTTTCTACAATCAATGCTTTTCACAGTCTCCTAAAGCCTAAATAGATTGATCTGTCTTATGTGTAGGAGTTACATGATTATTTTTTGGTACACTATTACTGCGAGTTAAAAAAAGTGAGTGGGACCGTGCGTTTATAAAAAAACATCGGCATCTGTTAATATTTTTAACTGGCAACATTGCGAGATTGTGACGGTCGCCATTGCTACGTCCATATTATCTCGTATTCAATAGGACTTTTATAGCCATTTCATATATTGCTGACTTTTAATTATTGTGTTTCGTGAACAATTTGGACACAGTGAAGTGTAACTGATGTGATTTTATATTGTTATCGTCGTGAGAATAACTTTAATAAGTGCTCAATATTCTTGAAATCGCGGCCAATGTCAGCAGGCGTGTCAGATCAGGTATTTCGTTTTTTCACATATTTTTGTGTTGTTTACGCTTCATTAGATGACTTTTTCCGTTAAAATTTGCTGTTTTCTTTATTGTTTCATATCCGTTGGGCGTTTAGCGGATGAAAGGACAAGGGAATCAAGGTAAATATGGACCATTATGACGTTGCAAATGTTTTCTCCGTAGGCTGAACACCTCGCGCCGGTCAGCGTCGTGTCCGGTCTTAAAATGTGTGCGATGTTTTACATCGTGTGATTGAAATGTATATTTTGCCAATAGAATTAAACTGCGTACAAAGTCACATGTTGAAATCATATGAAATTGCAATAAATTTGACACAAATGATAATACATAGCTATTCATCCTGACTTTGAATCTGTTATACATTTATGTAAATAAACTATTCATGAGACTATATTGTCTCACAAATTAGAATTTTTATTCAATTCTTGTGATATTATTTTGAATATTGCCATTAGCTTCAACATTTCCTATTTATAGGCATATCTAGATAGCATTCACTGTTTGCGTACAATAAATACTGTTTAATGACAAATACAGAGTGCTACTAAGGACACCTGAGTAAATTTATTTAAATAAACACTTGAATACATTACTTGCTCATTAAAAACAAGAACTACTAGACAAAAACAATTACAGTTCATAATGCATTATATTAGAAAATAGTATAAGGAAATTTGTTTGAAAATATGTGTTTTTGACACTTAATGATATAGTGTAATCTATTCATTTTGCTCAACAATCATGTGAAGCACATAAAAATAAGGCTTGTAATATTGCATACTAACTTAGGTTATATTAAAAGGGGATGAACATTCATATTTCTATCTGACTTGACTATAACATATACCAATTTTTGTACGAATATAATTTGTTTGGGTTTAAATTTCAGTGACAAATGTACCTAAGGAGCAACAGTTAGAAAGTGGTGGTGACGAGTTGGCAGAGGCATCATGGCGTCACCAACAGCAACCCTCATATGCTCCACCCATCTCGTCAGCAGCCGATCCCTACAGCGCGGCAGGTAGGTACATAATCTCTCTTGTTATTTATTTTTTAAATTTGTAAGATGTTATTTAGTAAAAAAAAAGGTTCATTTACATTTTGTGTATTGCACTGGGTAGGTTTACTTTATTGTGATTGAATATTTTTCATTTTAATTATGTGCCAAAACAGTGTTGCAAAATAATAATAAAATGCTTCTCAAATATAAATGACAGCTCAAATCTTTAATACATCACAAAGAAAAAATATTCATCTGTAAAACCTGGATTAGCTATTATAGTCCATGATCATCAATAGATATTATAGATGGGCCCTTTTTGCTATGAAAGATACTTAGATGTAGCAAATATTTTGAATGATACTGTTCTCATTTAATTGATGGTGTTTTTTTTTTAATTTCAGGTTATTATGGCACAACAGCTCTTCCTTATCAAGCTTTTGGAGTTGGGGATGGTACATGGTCCACCAATGGAACCGATCCAATGACATTCCTCGGGGGATACAATCCTCACGATTCTTACGGAATGGATGGTAGCTAGTATTAATGCAAATTAAAGGATTAAGTTCACATTGCTCTGTTAATATTTATTTGGCTTTAAAAACCTAATTTTGATAAAATAGTAATCTTACTAATTAAAATTTGCAGGTGTTTTTGGACCATCAACAACTCCCTTCTCAACAGCTGCATTCGGGCAGCCAGCTTCAACTTTTAATTACTTTCATGGAAATGGTGATTACTCAACTTGGGGTCAATTAGGTCGTGCAAAACAGTACGATGATTACTACAGGGCTGACGGTTTGTACGTTCCAGACGGCATTAAGGCTGTCGACAGTGGCGTCCAGGCTCTCTCACTTGGAGAACATAAAACCGATAAAGAACGCATCTCCGAGCTCAAGGACGTATCGAGTGGATCGCAACCCAAAAAGATGACATGGGCTTCTATCGCAAGCCAACCGGCGAAACCGGCACCGACATCACAAACGGTAGGATTGAAAAAGAAAGGCCCGGGTATGCCCCCGCC